TCTCTCTGCTCCTCCTTCTCCTGCCCCCCCTCGCCCGAACTATCTTACCGTCCGTTTTGACGTCGGCCTTACCTTATCCCTTCCCTGTCCATCCATGCAATGCGTCCATCATGCCTGACTGTTCCCTTAGCCAATCCGCCTCAGACGATGACACCCAAGGCCTCCATTCCCAATACCCCCATGGCCAAACTCAATCCAGCCCCCGCAGCGGCAACGCCTACTAGGCCTGGACCAGTGCACCGCGCCGCGGCGACGCCTCCGGTGCTGGAGCTCGGTGACGCTACTCCGCCCGTCGCCGTTCCTCCGGCCCCGCCGCCGCTTCCGCCGCCGGATACGGGACAGCTCGCCGTACAAGGTAGAGCAGAGGCGAACGGCGTGGGAGCCGTGGTTCCCGTCTCCACCGTCCCTGTGACCGTGAAGACTGGCGACTGCGAAACGGCCGTCACGTTCGGGGCAGCGTTAGGTGCGTCGATGTTGAGAACCGCGTCAATCATCTGCACTACGCCGTTGGCAATCAGGATATTTGTCTGAATGAGACGCGCCGAGTTGACAAAGATGTCGTTGTTGAATAACGTGATGTCCAAACTCTTATTGCCAGCAGCAGCGGTCGCGAACTCGGTCCCGTTCTTTAGGGAAGACGCCTGCACTACCCGTGAGGGTACCAAGTGGTACTGCAACACGCGGCGCAGCGCCTCTTTGGTCATACCCGAGAGCGTTCCCGCAACCTGCTGGAAGGCAGCGTTCCGCGGCGCGAAAATGGTGACATTAGGCGTCTCGGCGAAGTCGGCGACGAGGTCCGCCGTGTACAGCGCGCCGAGAAACGCCGTCAGATCCTGATAGGCGTCGCGCGCGGTGGTTTCGAGCCGCGCGGGCGTGACCATGAGGCTGTCGATGATCTGGACCAGCCCGCCGTCAAAGGGGACGTCGGTCTCGAGGACCGTAGTGCGGGATGCGACGCCCGATGTGATGACTACATCGTTGTTGGGCTGTTTTGTGACGAGGACGGTTTGGCCGCCCGTCACGTTGGAGTAGCGCACATCGGTGAGGAGGGTGGAGAGGATGCTCGAGTCGCCTGGGGAGAAGGCGTCAAAGGCGACTTTGGAATCGAGGATGCCGTATTGGAGGGCGATGGCGATGGCGTCCTTGTTTGAGTCCCAGCCTTGGCCTTTGAGGTATGCTGCGTCGCTGGGGGCGAGGATCTAAGCGTTGGTAACATGGTCAGTAACTACGTTCCGCATTACAGTCAGGGCTTTTTGACGTCTATGCGTTGGACTGTTGCTGAAGTGCAATGTTCCAGACGGATGGATCGCATCAAATGTCTTTTTCTTGACTGGCCTGAAAATGGGACATAAATGCGAAAATAGGGTGAACCTTACCGTGACGCCGGATTTGGGCAACTTCGAGAAGATGTCTGCATGGTTCTATAGCGAGAGCCGTCAGCTGTAATTGCACTGAATGTGGATGAGGTTCAACCCAGTCTAGAGTCTACATCGCAAGTTCGCCAAGGCACCGAGGTCCGATCGTTGATTGCTTGTTGCGCATGCAATGCGCAAGAGACACATGTCTCGGACCTGGACCCGCGGATGAAGGTGCGTTGGAGATCTGAGCGCGTAGCCAAGAGTCGCTGTTTTCTTTTCTTCTTCTTACCTTGACCAGTTCGCGGAACGTTGTCAGATTCGCTTGCTTGCCGAGTACTTCCTCTAGACTCTGGGCTGCGACTGTGGATATGCCTGATACCACTAATACGACGGTAGCCCACAGGGCGTTTGTAGATGGCCTCATCGTCGGGAACGGCTCGCGTACTTGCTTGGGAGGAACTGAAGTCCGGAGTTCTCAAGTAGAAAATTAGAGATTGAAACACTGAAGGATGATTACTTCGAGAAGAGGCGATGGCGGCGCGGTTATTAACATCTGCTGCATGCCCGGCACAACTGGCAAACGAAACACACAATCGTCGTTACCAGGACGGGAATGTTTGTGAAATCAAGGGATCAATAGATGAGAGAAACAAAAGAAGGTCTGACAGAAACCTCCAAGCGTGGAACAGGATGCAGATGTCATTTTCAAGGGTAACTAGCTAAATCTTCTTCCTCCTTTCAACCTTCCCAATTCGCGATTCCGCATCCCGCATCGAGTGGGCGACGCGGGCCTGGACCCCTGGGTTGAAGCAACGGGACAGGGTCGCAATGCAGCATGGCAATAGGATCGCGGGCCCTTTTGCTGGCAGACCATTTCGTGGCGTCGTTCAACGCGACCCTGGCACCACTTTTCGAACAATCAAACACGCCGTTTGAGTCTTGACAACTTTCTAAGCTTCTCAGCTCTTCCCCCGGTCGAAATTGGGCTTGAAGCAGCTGAGAGATCACAATGTAGCCAATCCGGGGGTGGCGTTCGACTCTTTGCGACTTTGCAGGATCGTGCGAAAACGTGGTGAAAGGGTGATGAAAGGAAGCTTAGGACGCGGCGTGGACATGTGCAATTAAACTGTAAGGGCTGAGAGATGGTCAAAGAGGGAATGGCGGCGCGTTCGTTGGGGGGTTTGGCCGCGCTGCCACGCTGGTCAGCTTTTAGCGTCATGTTCTTGTGCCTGGACTAGAGCCAAAAGGGTGCATCGCGCGTGTGTTGTAGACGAGCCGGGGTGTCTAGGGCCTCTCTGGGGAAAGGTCATTCGTTCAGAACTCCAATGAGAACCAGTTGAATGGCACACACGCAGGACAAGATTAGGCCGAGTTGGATGCGACTGTGAGTCTGTGCCTGGATGCTGGGCTTGGAGCGGCGCGGGAGATCTTCATTGTGTGGGCGGAATGTGGGCAGCTCATGTCCAAAGTAGATTGTGGACAAGGGAACTCCGTCAATCCAATTACTCAGTTCCTTGAAGTAGGTTTATCGATGGGCACTACAGGTAGTCAACTTCCAAAGCCATGTCCTGGATGTTTGAGCTGTCGACCGGGATGTTCTGAGTAAGAACCACGACTAGATCACCAGGCTATCCGTCAGGCTCTGGATGGTGTTCGAGGTATTTTCGGGGCCTCGAAACTGTTCAAAGACCAGGGGGCGCAAATCGGCGGCACGGCTCAGCTGCCAAGCCAATACCCTGCATCTAATTGATGATTGCATGTCAGGCTGCAACAAAATGTGACTGAAATCGGCCACGACCGGGTTCTCGACGAAAAGTGGCCGGTTCTATGGATATCACCATCCTACGCGATACATCTAGGCGTAGTATAACCTTCTCGGAGTTCTACAATTATCGGCCCCGCTTTATTATCGGCAGACCCGACCCGGTTCTTCGGCGCTGCCCATGCCGCGTGGACCCCAGCTGTCAGCTTCGGTGGGCTCCCTTGCCGTAAAGGGACAGTATATTTGTGGCTTAGCAGTGACAAGCGCCGCTTACGGAGCTGTCGATGATGATCGTGATAGGTCTCTTATGTCCACAGCCACGGTTGGTGATGCAATTGAGTAGAGGATCCGCTAATTGGGACTTTGGAATCCCAGTTCCTGCACACCTTGCTCGTTGCCTACGATGAGAATGGGACTACAAAGACATTCTGGTTTGCACGTTGATGGACCTGCTGGGTGCCCCATTTGACAACTCATTTCAAACTTCCAGATCAAACAATGTCCTACCCTTCAGAAAAGCAAAAGGAACCAGTGTACTCCTCGACAGCCGACACTGATCTAGGAGCACCTCCTCCATCGTATGACGAAGCCGTGCCGAGCGCCGCCCAAGATAACCTACCAGAATATGGCAACCTATCAGACAACCTCAACGCAGAAGCCGGGCCCTCATCCTGCACAACTCTCACAGCCGCGACACACAAGTTCCCGCCCACGATAAACTGCTACTTCCAATGGGCCTTCACGCGAACCTTCATCCTCGGCCCTTCCAACGAGGAGAGACTCTTCGCCGCCTCGCCGCACGCGGGCTGGCGCACCAAGAGACGAGAAATCATCCTCCACGATGGGCCTACGGACAAGCACCCCATGCTCGCGACGATCGGCAAGTGGTGGGCCGCAAAGGCTCAGACGCCTGCGACGATCGTAATCCCGCCCCGGGAAGAACGCGGCGAGACGAGCGGGTTTGAGACGGAGATTACCGGGGTCCCGTGGGGCTTGGATCAGAGTTCCGCGCGGGTGTTTTCGATGACTGTCGGGGGAAAAGAGACGGGGACGGAGGCTAGGACGGAGAGGTTTCAGTGGAGGGGCAGTCGGGGCGGAGAGGTCTCCGAGCTTGCTCACGGGGGGACGTATGGGTGGAAGTTGGTTAGGTTAAATGAAGTTGCTGAGGGCGCTGGGGGAAGCAGGCGGGAGAGAGAGGCCGGATACACGAGCGATGGGCATGAGATTGTTGCTATTCTGGCCACGAATTACAAGAGTTTGACAAAGGGGCTGAAGTTCTCGTTTGCTGGGTCGGGGTTGACGGGGATACTGGGAGAGAGGTGGGAGATTGTTACGGTTGCGACTGCGTTGTGGACTTGGTATACTCACATTGAGGGAACTGAGGGTTCTTAATCTTGATGACGGATGATGATGATGATGGGAGATAACTGTCTTTGCGTATACCCTTTATCATTGCATGCCTTATCTCCTAGAATACCAGGATTTCGTTTCCAATCTATGACGCATGTTCACCCTGTCGTTAATCGTCTGTAGCAAACCATCCCACACCTGAGAAACCGTGAAATGGGCCATATGACTTTTCCACCGCGAAGCCGTGGCAAGAATCTGAAGTGGTAAGACAAGAGCCGGCTGTCAAGGAATAGTTGAAGGGGTAATCAAGAGCTTTCCCCGGGCTGATGGCGACACTCATCCGAGCGCCGCCGACGGAAGTGCTTTCCGTCACTTTCGGCATCAACCCCGCATTCAAGTAAGAAAACCGCTCCTTAGGTAATCACCATGTCTGTCAAAGGGCGTGTTGTCGATCTCATGAACTAAGAACCAACTGCTCCTCAACACAATACCAACGCACAATTTTCAGCTTCCCATGCCTTTGTTCAGAAATGGAGTATTACGAGCCATGGCTGACGGAAAAGGAGATGCGCGAGAAAACTTTCCGTAATGTAATCGCAATATGCAACGAGGGCAGAGACTTGACCGGTTTAGGATGGCTCATCGACACGGCAGAAAGGCCTCTTGGCTCAAGAGGTGACTGGCAACCAAACTTCGTAAGGCGCCTCAATCAACCCTTTGGACCAAACAGCACCAATTTGGTGAAGATCGATATGCTTCTGCTCGGTAACGACAACGACTTCTTCGCCCGTCTCATCAACAGAACGACGCTGAAGGACTCCGACGAAGTCTTTGAGTTCCAGGAAATCGTCCTTTCTAGTTTCATACGGGATGACGGTGTTAGCGGTTGGCGGTCGTTACGGGACGTGGACGCATTGTCCAATCGCCAGTACTCAACGGTCCCTGCTTCGCTACCTCCACCAAAAGCCTCGGCAGTGGCCCCTATGACGGCGGGGAAGCTGAAGGAATTCTACAACAGATACATTGACTGTATCAATGAAAAGACAATGGAACGGGACTTTGACCAATTCTGCCAGCCGGAGCTTTCGCATAATGGTCGCAAGCTCTCGATCGCCGAGTACATACCTCTGATCAGCGAGAGCCAAGAAGCCATTGAGGGCCTCGAATTCTGTGCCTACCCCGTCATCGCGGTCGAAGAGACGCAGCAGATCGCGGCGAGAATCGAGTTTACGGGAACTCCCGTCAAGGAATGGGGAGGCGCGAAGCCTAATGGCGAAGGCGTCTTCTTCGAGGAGTTTGTTATATATCAGCTCGAGGATGGGAAGATTTCGAGTGTATGGTCGGTCGTGGACTTGGAAGCTTATCGAAAATGCATGGGTCCTGTACTCACGTACGAGGAGCACTTGCGCGAACCTCGTGAGAGGATCTCTGAAGTGGACATAGACAAACTTTGGGATGTGTAACACCTCTTCTTGCCGAAACCGAGCATAGCATATCGTCGATGACGCACTGGTGCCGGAGAAAACATCCTCTTATTGTAATAGCAACTGAACACATAGTCTCATGTTGGTAACGATTGGCTTCACTTCGCTATTGTACTTCGTGGATAACCTTTCGGCAACCGGCCTCCATCAATGTACACGATGAGATTCTCGGCTGTGCTTGATGAGGACCTTGAGTTGTTGTCCACTGGGACTAAGCTTGGACGTATCCTGTTGGTTGACCCACTGCGATTCTCCATGTTCCTGCGCAAGCGGGTCATGCTAGCAACCGCGTGTATCTGGCTTCGCTCAAAGCTGCTAATTAAGGTAAGCTCCTTTGCTGTCAGCTAAAACCCGGTCTCATCATATGCGAAAGACGTTTGAAGGCGGAGTTGAGAATGGAGGAGGAAGCAGAGATGGCCAAAGAGGTCAGACAAGCGAATGTTCACACGATGAGAGCGAAGGAATGAAAAACCTACCTGCGCTTTCACGCACGTGGAGGCTCGTGGCAAGTCACGGCAGATCAGCTACCAGGCGAATGCCCAGAGATGATGCTGCATCTTGCATCGAAGCGGTCCAACCCGATCCCAAGAGCCCAGGCTTTACTGCGGGGTGTTGGATGTAAGGCTAAGGTAATGGGGAGGACTTGATGACTTCTAAACTGTCGATGACTTGTTGCCCCATCGGCTTCAGAAGATCACAAACCCCGAAGACACCATGATCAAGTCATGATGCATGCCATGTTCTCATTTAGCGTCAGGCACGAGGTGCTCGCACACATGGGGCAGGCACACTCTCTTTGGCGGTAAAAAAGGGAGCCCCGATATTGTTGTTGATGCGCTCGAATGAGAGGACGCTATCGCCACGCTCGGAAACCGGTAGATGACGAGGGTGGATCCGGGGGATATCCCAGACGAGGCCGCGGACCGCTCCCTCTTTCTCCAACTTCCCCTCATTCTTTTCATCTCAAGAAGCCAAAAGTTCTGCCCTGGCCTCCCTGTTCTCCTCCTTGCCCTCCAGGTATTTCCTTCCCCACAGGAGCGGAGGAGGGGAAGCTTGCAAGGGGGGTTAAATAACGTTGTCCTACTTTCGCATTTGCGCGCGAAGCTTCAGACATCAACCGGTGCGCGGCCGATGTAACGGTACTCTTCACAACTTGCGCGCAAACGCCCAATCCAAGCTGCTGTTGCTTCTGCTCTGGGCCTTAGACCCTTGCTCTTTCAGTGCTCGCAGATGAAGACGCGAAATATCAACCGAGCCGAAGCAAAGAAGCCCCCCTGGTATCCGTAGACTCCGCGGGGCAAAAGTCTTGCCAAGACCACTCGTCCTCGGTCCTGAAGCCACCGACAAGCGACGCTCACGATGTGGGTTCTGCCGTCTGGGCGAAGAGACGTTCACGCCGGGTACCACCTTATCTGAGCAGAATGCGGGGTGGTCAGGCACATCAGGAACACCGGTCCATTGCGAGACGATCTTTCCCAATGGCCCTGTCTATCCGGGCGAAATGAGCACATGTTCTTCCTCCACCCGGTTCGCATGCGATGCTACGCAAGTATGGCAACATTTTCCCCGGTCCATTGAGTCCCGTGGGGATCAGCTCGTCATGTATCCGTGGAGCTTGGGGTTCTTTATAAAGAGGATGTCCCTTCGTGGCGGAATTGACGGTTTCTTTTGTTTGACACCCTCGCGTCATTGCAACCTCAATCTCAAGCAATAGGGAAGCAAACATGGTGTCGCTCAAGTCAGCCATTCTGGCCGCAACTTATGCCGTTTCGGCTGCTGCTGTCGATGTCTCCATTAAGGCGTCCGGTGGCAATGCCACCAGTGGTCACCAGTATGGATTCCTCCACGAGGTTTGTGCCCCTATGCCACTTGTTGCCCGAAAGTCTTTCACCTAACGTCTGCAATCTCAAGGACATCAACAACTCTGGTGACGGTGGCATCTACGCCGAGCTGATCCGCAACCGAGCCTTCCAATTCAGCCCCAGATTCCCCGTCTCCCTCGACGCCTGGCACGCCATCAACGGCGCCAAGCTCACCCTCAAGAACCTCACCGAGCCCCTCTCCAGCGCCCTCCCCGTCTCCGTCAACGTCGCTGGGGGCAATGGCTCCGGCGTCATCGGTCTCGAGAATGATGGCTACTGGGGCATGGACGTCAAGGTGCAGAAGTACACTGGCTCTTTCTGGGTCAAGGGCTCGTATGACGGTGTCTTTACTGCTAGCCTCAAGTCCGCCCTCAACGAGGACGTGTTTGGCTCTGTCGAGATTGAGTCCAAGGCCTCAGCCGACGAGTGGGTTGAGCATGAGGTTGAGCTCACTCCTGAGAAGGATGCTCTCAACAGCAACAACACGTTTGCCATTACCTTTGATCCTGCGGTATGGACCTCCCGTATAACTCCAAGCTGAGCCACATATACTGACGACTCACGTTTAGGGCGCTGCCGACGGCTCGCTGGACTTCAACTTGATCAGTCTCTTCCCTCCCACCTACAAGGGCCGCAAGAACGGTCTTCGCGTTGATATCGCCGAGGCTCTGGCCGGACTTCACCCCGTAAGAAATTTCCCCGATCCCTTCAAGTTACAACAAGAACACACCTTTGACTGGTAGACAGAGCTTGCTTCGCTTCCCCGGTGGCAACATGCTGGAGGGTTTGAACAACGGCACCTACTGGGACTGGAAGGATACTCTTGGCCCCCTCAAGAACCGCCCCGGTTTCCAGGGTGTCTGGGGCTACCAGCAAACCCACGGCCTCGGTCTCGTCGAGTATCTCGAATGGGCCTTGGACATGGGTCTGGACGTCGTCATCGGCGTCTGGGCCGGCCTAGCCCTCAACGGCGACGTGACCGCAAAGGAAGACCTCCAGCCCTTCATCGACGACGCCCTTGACCAGATCGAGTTCATTCGCGGACCCGTCGACTCCAAGTGGGGTGCCCGCCGCGCCGAGCTCGGCCACCCGGAGCCTTTCACGCTCGAGTACGTCGAGATTGGCAACGAGGACTGGCTCGCCGGATATCCTGGGGGCTGGACCTCGTACAAGGAGTACCGCTTCCCCATGTTCATGGAGGCTATCAAGGCCAAGTACCCCGACATCACCGTCATTTCCTCCGGCGCCACCACCGACGGTGACGGTTTCGAGATCCCCGCTCCCGGCATCGGTGATTACCACCCTTACCGCACCCCTGACGCCCTTGTCGACGAGTTTGACCGCTTCGATAACGACATTGGCCACATTGTCGGCGAGGTCGCTGCCACGCACCCCAACGGCGGGACCGGCTGGGACGGCGACCTGATGCCCTTCCCCTGGTGGATCGGCACCGTCGGCGAGGCTGTCTCCCTCATCGGCTACGAGCGCAATGCCGACCGCATCCCAGGAACTTTCTACGCTCCCGTCCTCCGCAACATGAACCGCTGGCAATGGGCTGTCACCATCGTCCAGTTCGCCGCTGACTCGGCGCTGACTACGCGCTCGACCAGCTGGTTCGTCTGGGAGCTCTTTGCCGCACACCCGCTGTCGCACACCCTTCCCACCGTCGGCGACTTCGGCCCTGCTTACTGGGTCGCTGGCAAGAACGAGGCTAAGGGCAGCTTGATCTGGAAGGGTGCCGTGTACAACACCACAGACAGCGCTGATGTTGATATCAACCTCGCGTTTGAGGGTGTCACTGCTGGTACTACTGCCTCCTTGACTGTTCTGACGAACCCCAGCGGCGACCCGTTTGCGCACAACGACCCCCTCAACGGTGGTGAGACTACTGTCGCTAGCAACACTACGACTGTTGTTGCCAATGCCGATGGTGTCTTCACTTTTAGCCTGCCTGATCTTAGCGTTGCTGTTCTTGATACTGAGGGTTCCAAGGGTAACCAGACTGCTCGTGCTATTAGACGCTTTCATGCATAAGTGATCAGAAGGTTGAGATAGCTGAATATATTACGTAATTGTTTCCGCAGGATCTAGACAGTTAAGAGTATGGAAGGAATATGAAAGGTCATTGGTCATCGTTATTCATTAATCTGCCTATCGGAAACGTAGGGCAAACCACCACCATTGCCACACCAGCCAAAGTCAACATCCACCGAAGAACATGCGTCTGAGTACTAATGTCCAGCTTTCCTTTCACGAGTACGCAAAGCATCGCAAGGAGGATCTTGAAGTAGCACCAGGTCTCAACCGCCCCCCCCCCCCCCATTAGTAACCTTGGACGTTTGTCTTTCACTGCTCATTCAATGTTGAGGCTGTACGAACGGGCTAAGGTTTCGGTGTGTCATGCAGGCTTACCGACCTACCATCTGCTGTCTGATAATCGCTTGGTTTGCTGACCGAAAGATTCGTAATATATGTAGCCTAAGGACGATGCGGCGAATAGGAAGCGAATGCGGTGACCATATCACGAGGTTGCATGTTTGCATGTGGCGCAGCCACATTGACTGCAGGACTACGTATGTCTCATCCGACATGGACTATTTCGCACTACAGATCAGGCTCCGAGGCTGATTTCATTAGAAATACTTGTTTCCTCTATAAAGAAGCAAACTTCACAGGGCCCGCCAGATGTTGCTTCTTCCGTGCTCACTGGGCCCATGTTACCATTCTGTTTTGCGCCCCTTGCAAAAGGACTTGACAGATCGAGACACTCCATGTCTAGATGGCATGAACGAGGTTGCAGGCGGCCCGATGTCGTGGTCTGCGGCGGTCTTCCTTGTTGTCAATTCTGTTACGCTGTAGCGTCGATTGACGATGTCCAGTTCGGTGCATCTTTGGAGATACCACAAGCTCCTCTCCACACAAAGGGTTCTGCATACAATCTTCGGTGGCCACACTGCGTCGATTACCATGATTCACATCGCGAGGTTGCCTCCAGCTCAGTTGACAGCTTAATCTCTACCAGTCATTTTTCTCTCAAAGGGGAGGAAGGCTCGTGGGGGCCAAGAAGCGTTTTAAAAAGACCGGACACTACCCCAAAACAGTGTTCATCGACCGAGG